GCCCTTATTCCATTGTCTGGAGGTTGTTTGCATCCGGTGTGTTTTCCTTCCCAGTGGTGAGCTCTCTGGGAAATTGCCTTGAACTCCCTGTAGGGCTGGACACATAAAGGTAAACTCTGAAGAACAGAATAAATGAGAGAATGGAAGCTCTATCTGCAGCTGCTTCCTGAGGATTAGAAAGCTTTGGGTCAAAGAAAGGGATGGAAACTCCAGTTCCTGGACTATTCAGAAAGCCAATTTGATTATTCAGGCAAAAGGAATCCATATTTTAGAAGTCAGATAGGTTTGTGGCTTTCCAGCATAGTAGACTTCTATTTGCAAGAACTCTGACCTAGCAGCTTTATTCATGGCAGATACAGGTTCTGACAGAAGAATTGGAAGGTTCCCTGTTTCTTTCGCTTTTTTATTTTTTAGAGAGGGTCTTACTCTGTCACCCAAGCTGGAGTGCAGTGGTGCGATCATAGCTCAGTGCCACCATACCTGGCTAACTTGTCACCCAAGCTGGAGTGCAGTGGTGCGATCATAGCTCAGTGCCACCATACCTGGCTAACTTGTCACCCAAGCTGGAGTGCAGTGGTGCGATCATGGCTCAGTGCCACCATACCTGGCTAACTTGTCACCCAAGCTGGAGTGCAGTGGTGCGATCATGGCTCAGTGCCACCATACCTGGCTAACTTGTCACCCAAGCTGGAGTGCAGTGGTGCGATCATGGCTCAGTGCCACCATACCTGGCTAACTTGTCACCCAAGCTGGAGTGCAGTGGTGCGATCATGGCTCAGTGCCACCATACCTGGCTAACTTGTCACCCAAGCTGGAGTGCAGTGGTGCGATCATAGCTCAGTGCCACCATACCTGGCTAACTTTCAGATTTACTTTGTAGAGACAGGGTCTTGCTATGTTGCCCAGGTTGGTCTCGAACTCCTGGGCTCAAGTGATCTCCATCCCCCCAACCCCCGCACCCTTGCCTCAGCCTTTAAAAGTGCTGGGATTGCAGGCCTGAGCCACTGCATCTGACTTCTTTTGCATTTTTGGCTCAGCTGCTCCTGAGTGGAGTCTGAAGCTGGCTGTCTTTGACATATTCCCATCCCTCCAGCCTCACCCCTACTCCTCCATTTAGATTTCCCTTCTTGCTCTCAGCTGGCTGTCAATGATTCCCTACTTAGCTATTGATATTTAATTGTCTACTCTTCCTTGAATCAAACCCATTTTTCAAGAAGACCACAAGTTGTTAGTGCAGTTAATTGAAAGGAATAAAGCCATAATGGTGGAATTATAGATGGAAATGGAAAACCCCTTGAATTCTTAATGATTTAGTCAACCACATGCTTTGCCTTCTTTTTTTTTTTTTTTTTTTTTTTTTTGAGACGGAGTCTCGCTTTGTCGCCCAGGCTGGAGTGCAGTGGCGCGATCTCGGCTCACTGCAAGCTCCGCCTCCCAGGTTCACGCCATTCTCCTGCCTCAGCCTCCTGAGTAGCTGGGACTACAGGCGCCCACCACCGTGCCCAGCTAATTTTTTGTATTTTTAGTAGAGATGGGGTTTCACCGTGGTCTCCATCTCCTGACCTTGTGATCCACCCGCCTCGGCCTCCCAAAGTGCTGGGATTACAGGCGTGTGCCACCACGCCCGGACTTTGCCTTCTTATAATACAAGTTCATCCTGGCAGCCACACAGAACAGTTACAACCAAGCTGTGCTGGCTACCTTGTGCAAGCCAGAAATTAAGTGCACCAACTCTGAGTCAGGCTGACGGGTTCAAATCCCGGGTCTTCTACTTATTAGTTATGTGACCCTGGACAAATTATAAAACCTTTCTCTTTTTTTTTGAGGGAAAAAAAAAAAAAAGTCTCGCTCTGTTGTCCAGGCTGGAGTGCAACGGCACTATCTTGGCTCACTGCAACCTCTGCCTCCCAGGTTCAAGCAATTCTCCTGCCTCAGCCTCCCGAGTAGCTGGGATTACAAGGCACCTGCTACTACACCTGGCTAATTTTTGTATTTTTGGTAGAAATGGGGTTTCACCATGTTAGTTAGGCTGGTCTCGAACTCCTGACCTCAGGTGATCCGCCCGCCTCGGCCTCCCAAAGTGTTGGGATTACAGGTGTGAGCCACCACGCGGCCTCAGATCTATAAAATCTTTCTTAACCTGGTGCTTTGTCTGCAAAATAGGCCTGTGTTCCCTACCTCATCTGGATATTGTGTTGAAGGAGATAATCCATTTAAAAGACCACAAGGGCCTGGCCCACAGTTGGTGTTGAGTAAATGCTAGTCATTATTATTCCATTCCTGCATTGGAATGTCTGAATTTCCTTCTAGAGGCACAAAAACCTGATGTACAACCATTTATTTGTGTAGGCAGGATGTAACAGCTTGTAGTGGAGAAAAAAATAGTCTAACACTAACTTGCCGAGTGACCATGCCAACTCACTTACTTTGGGTCTATTTCACATCTGTAAAATGAGAGGGAGAGGCAGGGGTTCCCAGGATGGAAAACTTAAATGTCTATATAGGCCAGATAGATAAAATCACTAGTGACTTGGGCTGGGTATAAGAACAGGGAGTTACGGTAAACTAGAGAGCTTTTCAACTCAGAGTGTGGTCTACTGACCAGGAGGATCGACAGAACCCTGGAGTTTGTTAGAAAGAGCAAAATCTCAGAAACCACCCCAGAGCTATCCAAATGCAATCTGCATTTTAACAAGATCCCTTGTGATTTGTATGCTCGTGAAACTTTGAGCCAGGCACGGTGGCTCATGCCTGTAATCCCAGCACTTTGGGAGGCAGAGGGCGGGTGGATCACTTGAGTCCAGAGTTCAAGACCAGACTGGCCATCATGGCAAAACCCCGTCTCTACTCAAAATACAAAAATTAGCCAGTTATGGTGGCACACACCTGTAATCCCAGCTACTTGGGAGGCTGAAGTAAGAATCGCTTGAACCTGGGAGGCTGAGGTTGCAGCGAGCCGAGATTGGGCCACTGCACTCCAGCCTGGATGACAGACTAACTGTCTCAAAAAGAAACAGACAAAAAACAAACAAAAACAACCTTTGAGAAAATTGTTTTTTGGTTTTTTTGCGGGGGGGAGATGGAGTCTCGCCCTGTCGTCCAGGCTGGAGTGCAGTGGCATGATCTCGGCTCACTGCAACCTTTGCCTACCGGGTTCACGCCATTCTCCCGCCTCAGCCTCCCGAGTAGCTGGGACTACAGGCGCCGCCACCACGCCCGGCTAATTTTTTTTTTGTATTTTCAGTAGAGACGGGGTTTCACCGTGTTAGCGAGGATGGTCTCGATCTCCTGACCTCATGATTTGCCCGCCTCAGCCTCCCAGCCACCGCGCCCAGCCTGAGAAAATTGTTATGGTGCATAAGCCATCTAAAGGCATTCAAACATTTTCTTTCTTTCTTTCTTTTTTTAATGTTAGCCGAATAAACAAACTTCGGTTTTCATCAGGCCCTATGCTGCCAGCAAGTGACCACTGTGGTTGGTGGAGGGCTCTAGGAGCTGCCAACTTTAGGGGTCTCGCTATCTGAGAGAGATCCTTTCATTAAAAGTTAGGGCTCTAGGTATGTGAATACGCAGCAGAGACCAAGCCTGGATTGCTTAGAACAGTAATTCCTGGAGTGGTGGGTGCCTGAAAAGTTACCCCCTGAGCCCTCCGCCTTCTGACAGGTGAACTGTTATTGCCCCCATTTTGCAGACAAGATAAATGAGGCCCAGGGAGACTCACTGACCCAAGTCTAGACACCACAAAGGGGTGATGGTGGGTACACTGCCCCAGGGAAGAAGATAATCTTGGGTTGTTAGAGTCAGTGACCAGACCAGTTTCCAAGGCCTGGAAGGTTTATTGATTTCTTTATATTCTCCAATACATAATAACTGTTCTCTGTTTCTCTCGGCACCTCCCTGCGACTTCCTGGCAGCCCTGGGGACAGAGGGTTTCCTCCTCCTGGACAGAGAAGGCCCAGAGTCTGCTTCTGAACGGATATCCGGCCCGCAGGATGCAGAGGAGGCAAAGGCCTCATTGTTCTTTGGGGCCTGCCTGCCTGCCCCGCCCCCAGCCGTAGGACACTCGTGGCAGATCCCGGGTGACCGAAGACAGCCCATTTCCAGGAGTGGGGCCTTCGGAGCGGAGGGAGCGAGAAAACAGGGCTGATCACAGACCAGGATGTTCTGGGCATAATACTGGAAGGAGCTAAGAGCCCCAAAATAAATAAGACCGGAATTTAAAAACGTTAATCCCACGCCGGCTCGGCGCTGGCCTGGCTGTTACTCATTAACGCTCCCCACGGCGGAGACTCCGGCGACTCTGTCTGCGTTTTTATTACTTAATCTAGCTGGGTTTGGCTGCAGGGAGGCTCCTGGACTTGCTGGCCGGGTGTGCTGGAAAGCAGTTTATTCACAGAACCAGCGGCTTCCCACGGTGGACCCCGAACCCCGGGCGCGGTCCGCGTAGACCCCGCGCCTGCGCACCGCGGCCGCCGGGGGGCGCTCGGGTCGCGCCAAGGGGCAGCGCGGGCAGCCAGCGCCGGGTCTCCGCCGACCCGCAGAGTCCTTCGCGCCCTCGGAGGAAACAAAGTGCATCTTTGTTCGCGGCCCGGGGCGCCGCGTGGGAGACGCTGGGCAGGGGCCAGGCCGGGCCGGCCGCCGCAGCGCGCGGGGACCCTGGGCGCGCGTCACTGACCCGGGACTCAGCCCCTCGCGGGCCTGGTGTGGACCGGAGGAAGCGGGCTGTGGCGCGCGGCCGAGCTGGCGGCCCTCCCACTCCAAGCACGGCTCGGGACCCGCACTGGCTCATGCGGAGCCGCGGCGCTTCGCGCGCTACCACCGGGGCCTGAGCACTTCGCTTTACGGGCTGGCGGCGGGGCGGGAAGGGGGCAAGCGGGAGCCTGCGGGGGTTGGTGGGGACTTCGGCTCGGCTGGGCCGCCTTTGAGTCGCCAGTCGGCCGGGCGGTGCCCGCCTTCGCTTTCGGTGCCGTCCCGGGGCGGGTCCCCGCTCCGGCAGCCGCGCGCCAGCCCAGCTCAGTCCCGGCGCCGCGCGGCGGGGAGGACTCCAGCTCCCAGCAGGCCCTGCGCCGCGAGCGCCGAGGCAGGAGGCGCGCCTGGGCCGGCGCTTGCGCAGTGCGGCCGCCCGAGCCTGCTAGTACCACACCCCCGGGAGGGACGGAGGGGAGGCAGAAGCATCCGAGGCATTAAAGCATCCGAGGGAGCCGGAGGGGAGGAGAATGGAGTGACAGAGACACGCGGAGGGTGGGGGGTGGGGGGGAGCGTGTTGAGGGAGGGGGGGAGGGGGGACACAGAGGGAGGAAGAAGCGGCGGCGGCGGCTGCTCCTCTTTGCAGAGGGGGAAACTCTTGGGCTGAGAGCAGGAATAATGCGGTAGGCAAGGCGGGCTGCTGGCTCCCCCGGCTCCGGCAGCAGCGGCGGCAGCCCGAGCAGCGGCAGCAGCAGCGGCAGCACCCCAGGCGCTGACAGCCCCGCCGGCCGGCTCCCTTGCTGACCGCCGACTGTCAATGGAGCTGGAAAACATCGTGGCCAACACGGTCTTGCTGAAAGCCAGGGAAGGTAAGAGGCAGGGCCGGTACGTGCCCGGCGCGTCCGTCGCGGGCCGGGGTGCGGGTGTCGGGCGGCGTGCGGGCTGGGGCTGCGCCCGTGCAGGATGCCCGCTGCCGGCGAGTGGGTCGCGGGCAGGACACTTCGGAGAGCGGCTCTGCAGACCCTTCAGGGTTCTTGCCTTGGGGCTCAGAGAATCTGGACTTGGGCTGAGAAGGTTGCAGGGATTTGGATGCTAACATATCTCCTAGTTTCCAGCGCTCGCCCTGCAGAGCGTGCCATCTCGGCAGCTGTTGAAAGGTCAATTGGAAAAGCATTCATTCGGGGAGCGACGAGCAAACATGCACATAAAATAGCGTTTCAAGTCGGCCCGGGATGGTTCTGTGTGAACTGGTGTGTGTGTTCGGGGGGGCGGGGGTGGAATGAGCAGAAGCCAAGTCTTTGCCTGCGCAGGCTGAGTTGATATAGACTATTGCTGGAAACCATCCGCTGGGATGTTTCTTAGGGAAATCCCGTCGTGTGGAAGGAAGCCTTTTAAAGGCAAAGTCAGATGTTGAGGAATTAGCCTTTTCATAGAATAATCAAAGGATGGCTATACAGATCACCTAGAAAATAATTCAGTATTTCGGGTTTCTCTTTTCTGGGAGTGTGATAACTGAAATGGTTAGATTTTGGCTCAGTTAAGAAAAGAAAGGTAAGTGTGCTGGTGCTTTAGATATGTTTTCTATGCAAATCATTAGATTTCCTGCATTTAGCTGGCAGGAAATATTGTCTAAATGGAGTGTGTAAGATCCTGAGTCAAACCCTGAGAACACATATTTTGACTCTGCCTTGAGATGAAAAACAGAAAAAAGGCGGGGGGTGGAGGGGAGGCCGAAACTTAGATACTTCCTAAAATGATTGTGTTGTGTACATGTAAACAGATATATTTAGGAATACCTGGAATTTATGTAACATCTTTTTCTTTTTTCTGGTCAAGATTTGAGCTCTAGTGTGCGACCTTTTTCATAAAAGGGGAAGAGGTTTTTGACTTTCACGGGAGAAGGCTTTATTTGATACTAAAGGTAGGAGGCAGACTGAGGAAGGGCTTGACTTTAGAAGGATACTTGGTGAGCAGTCCATGAAAATGTTTTACCTACTTAATATTTTCATTCACCCGCTTTGATGAATGAAGGGAAGACTTTCTGGCCAGCAATAAAACGATTCGTGTTTATTCAGCCGGTTTCATCACCTTGTGGCTCCCTACACACTGTGGGGGTAGGTGATGCATAGCCTTCCGTGGGCAGCGTTTCAGCAACTCAGCCCAGCATTCGTGTCTTGTGTCTTACTTTCGTCGTCACTTGTCACTCAAAAGCAGCCAGTGGGCAAGAAGGTTTATTTCAGAAGCCCGGAAGGGAGGCAGTGCTTTGAAAACCCCAGCAGAGTTTAAAATATACAGGTTAATCTCTCTCCCATTGCTTAGCTTTGGTGGGAATAAATTTTTAGCAGAGGCTTGTTACTTGGTGACTTCAGGTCTAAGGCCTGAGCTCTGTGTGTGTGTGTGTGTGTGTGGTTTTTTGTTTTTTTTTCTTTTTTCCTAACCTGACATTTTTAGTGGACACGATCAAGGTGAGTGCTGGTAGGCTCTTCCCTGGGTTGGGGAATGGTCCTGAAAGGGAGGAAGCAGAGAAAACAACCCTCCACCTCCCCCGCCCCTCTTGCAGCCTTTGCAGCTGGCCACCTAGTGGTGGGACACGGTTGTATATCTCAGGATTCGGGGGCTGGGAAAGTTTTCACTCTCCCTCCATTCTGAAATTATTTCTTGGGAAATCCCTGGGTCTGATGGTACTGGAGCCTTGCAAGTTTTGCTGGTTCCTCCTGTTGCCCAGGGAATCTGCCCCCTACATTTGCTGCTGTAGGTATTTGTTTGCCTGAGAAATACTTTTTTTTCTTCCCTGAACATTTGGTTGCTTAAGTTTTATAATGCTTTGCTTAGAGTGGGCAAAGTGATATCAATTCCACCCTCCCCCTCCAAATTGTTCTCCCCAGTATTTTTTCACCAACGTGAATTTACTGTCTGATATTGTTTGTTAGGCCAACAAATTGGTTTTTTTTTTTTTTTCCCAGAGCCCTGGGGAAGAGAGCTGCAGGCTGGAAGCTTGTGTGGAGTGACCGGCTCCCATTGGGGCAGAATTACAGTGATTGAAAGTGCTCAAGAATGTGCTTTTCACTTTTTTTTTTTCCTTTTAAAGGCTTTTTCAATTTTGCTGTGAGAGTTTGGTCGTCATCTCATGGTGAGAAAATAGCTCTTGATGATGCCTTGGAAATGGAGAGGGCCTGCGGAAGCTGGGAGAGACAGACACGTGAACAAGAAAATTTAATCATTTAATGGAAACCTCGTTTAAAATGTGCATCTCTTCCCCTCTTTCTCTCTTATGCCTAGAGGAAAGCCATGATTTTAAGTGCTTCCAGTTTCTTTTGGCTGGGCCTTTATTAGAGACTTGAGCCCATATATCCTAATTAGTGTGGACACTTTTAGAAATTAAAGCAGTTTATTTTTCTCTTCTCAGTTCTCATATATTTGAATTTATTTTACTAAACTTAGTAATTCTCCAAATAACCATATTATCTAAATATTCGGGAATGACAGTTTCAGTCAGTTTAGTGAAATATCTAATATAAAACAGTACATTAAAAAAATCTGAGTTGTTTAAAAGGTTTAAAAACACTTCTTAAAGTTTCTTGTCAGTGGTTACAGAGGAGAAATATAATTCACAAATGTGAAATTTAATTTAGTTCACTTAACAAAATACACCATAAACAATTTAAAATTTGACTTTCAAGTAGAAGTCACATTTGTCCCAAACAATGGAGAAACAGACCTTGAAGAAAGACAGGCACACTTTGCAAATGCTGTAAAATTATGTGTAGTTGTCCATGGTGGTGGGCAACACTGGGGCCTATCTTTTCTTATTATGGTGCATTCTTAAAGACAGATGGCTCCTAAATTCACTGTATCTTCAAAGTCTTACCATAATAAGACATACTATAAAGTGGAAAGCATTAATGTAGCAATAAAATAGAAAGCCTGTAAGTGGATTAGAGTAAAATGATGGATTGTTAGTATTAGAAAATATAGCAAGCAAGCTCTATCCTTGTGACAATTATTTTAAAATAAGAAAAGGTAGAGGTATGGGTTCCAGATTTTAAACCACGGAAATGTATTTTGGGGCCTGTTTATTTGTCCTGGGTCTCATGAGAAAACATCAAGTCGATCACTTTTAGGAACTTTAGATTGCTCTCCTAAAAAGTGGTTAAGGAAAAAAAGAAAGAAGTTGAGACTGAATTCATGGCAATTTATGGAAATGAGCTAAGTGATTAAGCATTTCATGAAAAAGAGGCCCAGACTAACTCTATCTATCTATTTATTTACATTTCAGAATCTCAGGAAATTGGCAGGCAGCTCATGTTGAAATAACAGTGAGAAGGAGAGTTTGCTGAGTGCCTTTTGTGTGTTTCTTTTTGGTTTTATTGTTGCAGTAAAGGTTTTTGTGTTTTTCTCATCTTCTAGATCTGTTGCCTTTCTTCTGAGTGAACAGTGGTGAGAAAAAATTTTTGCAAGGCCCTGCTTTTCCTTTCTTCACAGGCCAGCAGTAGCCATATCTGATCAATAAAAGTATCTGAATGAATATTGATCACATTTGCCTGAGGCACTAGCAAGCACAGGAATTGAGAAGTTAGGACTGTAACAACTTTGCCATTTGTCACAATTGCCAAAAATTAGAATACACAGGAACCGTTTTCTCAGGTAACTCTGTGACTTGGCTGGATCTTCCTGATGATCAAGATTAGCACCCCAGGGGCCTGGGAGAGATTAGGGAAGGCAGGAGGAAGGAGAGAGCCAGCATCCAGCCCTGGTGGGGCAAGCTAGCCGTGGACAGACTTAGCATTCCACAGTACGGCTGAAAGCCCTGGACCTCTTTCCTTTGCACCCTTAATTCATGGTGATAAAACCGAAACACGGTGAATTAGGTTATTAGAACATTGGAACGTCTCTGAAGCCCAAAGCCATCTTATTTAGATTGCTATGTGAAGGCATACGTGGAGGCATACGTACTCCACCCTGAAGCTTCTCCTTCAGTTTTAATGTTAATCTTACTAAGAGACAGCTTTCATCCTGGTGAAGGCAGCTCGCTGTGTGTAAAAGCAGCCTGGCCTGTTAAACACAATGCCGTTAAATGAAACTGCCTTTCATTTTTTTTTGAAGTTTCCTTTTCAGTACTGACAACTTGGAGGTAGAGAAACCAAAAGCAATGTTTTCAGAAGGCCTTGCTTTCTTAAAGATTTCAAATGATGATGGTAGTTAATCTGGCTGCCTGTTTTAAAAACCATCAGATAAATGCCCACAAGGCTCTCATCTTTCAGTAGCTTAGCTGCTGCTTGTCAGATTCGAAACTCCAAAGCGCTTGACTCTTCCAGTGCCCAAACTAATCCTTGTTTAAATTATGTCTTCAGAAGCTATAACTCTTGTAGTGGCTTGCTAAATGATAGCCTTTGAATCTGGGTTGAAGACTTCCAGAATGCCCAAGTGAATTTCAGGAGCAGGCTCAATGTTTAACCAAATTCACCTTTACCAAGGGCTATTCAATCCATATCTGGGATGCTTTAAATAAAACTATCCAGGACTGTGGGCAATACTTAAAGTTAATATTTGTTGCCAATATGTTTGGAGTGCAAAATAAAGCATTATAATGTCTAGACATTTTTGAAATAAAAAAGTCTTCTGGTTACCAAAAGGCATTATTGCCATAGGTATTGCAACTCAGAGGTGAAACTTGAGAAAACAGAAAGTGACTACCAACAGGTGACACATTGAGAAGATAATTAGGAATTTCCTCGATCATACAATTTCTCAGCACCCATTTCTCACATGGAAATAGAATAGTGGAGCTGAGTGTGGTGGCACAGCCTGTGGTCCCAGCTACTCTGGAGGCGGAGGAAAATCATTTGAGCCCAGGAGTACTGGTCTGGAGTGAGCTTATGCCTGTTGGGTATCTGCAGTCAGCTCGGCATCAATATGGTGACCTTTCGGGAGTGGGGACCACCAGGTTGCCTAAGGAGGGGTGAACTGGCTTGGTAGGAGACAGAACAGGTAAAAACTCCCGTGCTGATGAGCCGTGGGATTGCATCTGTGCATAGCCACTGCCCTCCAGCTTGGGCAACAAGAGACAAGACCCTGTCTCCAAAAATAAATAAATAAACAAATGGGATAGAAGAGAATATTGCAGACAAAGGGATGAAGGCTTGATTTTAAATGATTAAAATGGGCCGGGCATGGTGGCTCATGCCTGTAATCCCAGCACTTTGGAAGGCCGAGGCAGGCGGATCACCTGAGGTCAGGAGTTTGAGGTCAGCCTGGCCAACATGGTGAAATCCCGACTCTACTAAAAATATAAAAATTAGCTGGGTGTGGTGGTGCCCGCATGTAATCCCAGCTACTTGGAAAGCTGAGGCAGGAGAATCACTTGAACCCAGGAGGCAGAGATTGCAGTGAGCCAAGATTGCACCACTGTACTCCAGACTAGGTGACAGAGTAAGACTCTCTCAAAAAATAAAAATAAAAAATTAGAATGTATGGTGGCCTTAAATAATAGGGTTGATTTCTACTTTAAAACATATCCTGTTATATTTCAGTGGAAATTTTTATTTAAAAATATTCAAAATATTGAAAAGATGTATTTTTTTGGGGCAGAGATAATGTCATTCCTTTTATTACCATCCAAAAACTGGAGGAAGCATTTCATTTTGTGTAAACCATGCTACTTTTAAAAGAGAAAGTCCTTGCTTCCTGACTGGTCCCTTCTCCTACCCCATTTCTCATTTTGAGGAAACCATTCTTGAATAGACTTCTGAAAGTCTTACGAGGATAAAATTTATTTATTCAGCATTTGGTTGTTGAAGGACCGAGTGCAGAGGTGACATTTGGGTGTCAGCCTTAGATAAATACAGCGTGAAATGAGTGAAAAGATGCAACTGGGCACTGCCATTCTCTTTTTACATGTTTTTTTGTTTGTTTTCTGTTTTGTTTTGAGACAGAGTCTGCTCTGTCGCCCAGGCTGGAGTGCAGTGGCTCAGTCTGGGCTCACTGCACCCTCTGCATCCCGGGTTCAAGTGATTCTCCTGCCTCAGCCTCCTGAGTAGCTGGGATTACAGGTACCCACCATCAAGCCTGGCTAATTTTTGTATTTTTAGTAGAGGTGGGGTTTCACCATGTTGGCCAGGCTGGTCTCAAACTCCTGGCCTCAGGTGATCTGCCGGCCTTGGCCTCCCAAAGTGCTGGGATTACAGGTGTGAGCCACTGCACTCGGTCTCTTTTGACAATTTTTAACTGGTCAACTAGGTGTGAACAGAACTGGATTTTTTCCCCACGAATTGCTGAGGCTTACTGGGGTGTGACCTACTCACCTGTGTAGACTGTGTTGACTCTGCTGTGCCTAGAATTTGTACAATGGCCTGAGGGACCAGTATGTGATTTAAGCATAATTTAAAGGTTATACTTGAAGAATACACCTGAATCTGGAAGACAACTGCTAATTTTTTGGGGCACTGTGGGGTTTTTTGTTTTGTTTTGTTCTTTGAGACACGGTCTTGCTGTCACCCAGGCTGGAGTGCAGTGGTGCGATCTCAGCTCACTGCAACCTCGACCTCCTGGGCTCAAGTGATCCTCCCGCCTCAGCCTCCTGAGTAGCTGGGACTACAGGCTGGTGCCACTATCCCTGGCTAATTTTTGCATTTTTTGTAGTGATGGGGTTTTGCCACATTGTCCAGGCTGGTCTCTAACGCCTGGGCTCAAGCAGTCCATCCACCTTGGCCTCCCAGAATGTTGGGACTACAGGTGTGAGCCACCACACCTGGCCAACACTGTGTTTTTATGAAGGTCTGTTCCTAGAAATGGAAACATTAAAAACAATGGGAAAAGACCCTTTGGTTGAGGAATGACAACATCCAAGAGGAAAACTGGTGTGCCGTGGCACTTTCCAGGCAGAGCAGTTGTTCAGGGCAGAGGCCTGGGCAGTGGAGGGGCTGCAGTTCTGGAGTGAAGATGGTGGAGGCTGCATTCCTTTCTGGCTTTCTGTTGGCATTGGCCTGGGTATGTCCTTTGACATAAGCCTGTCACCGGGAATGACCGAAAAGATGAAAGGCACCTGTTCCTCTTCAGGAGCTCTGTTCAATGTGGCAGCCACTAGCTGTATGTTGTTATTTATACTTAAATTAATTAAAGTTAGGAATTATGTTCCTGGAGCATGCAAACCACATTTCTAGTGCTCAGTAGCCACGTGTGGCTAGTGGCCACTGTATTGGACCATGCATGTAGAACATTCCCATCATTGCAGAAAGCTCATTGGGACAGAGCTTCTCTAGAGGGTTCTGTGCATTTAGTGAGTATGATAACCCCATGACTTCTGACATGAAAAATTAGGGAAAATTAAAAGAAGCAGAGGGAGGCAGGGAGTTGGGGAGAGAGGCAGTGTGGAGGAGAGGGAAAAAGAGAGATGAGAGGGGGAAATG